ACAGTAACTGCATGGATGTGTTGCAATGACTCATACTCTGATGATTTCTCCCGACTTACAGGTCCTTTCAGCATGGAACTCTAACATTGTACTGTCTCCTCTACTCTTATTTTCAAGTGTTTGTTTTTGTTGTTTGTTTGTTTTTATTTTTTTACTAAAATGAAATTCGCTAACAAAGTCAAGGGTGCCAGTCACCCCACCAAGAGTGTGCCCGAATTCTCAATCGTTCCGTTCCCATTAGGTTGGAATGAGTCGGAATGGTAAAGCAGAGGGAGGATTCTGATCCATTCGAAACGAAACGATTGAGAATTCGGGCGTACTAATACAAACAAAATTTTCTTCTTGTCTTAAATTATTATTTTTCGCCACTTTCTCCGCTCACGCCTCTCTCCGTGTGTTGCAGTATAACCTGGACTTCCGCGGGCTGTCCGCCCATGGTTCGTCCGGCTCCCCGTACCGTGAAGATGAGGGGGTGGGGTCCGGCGCGGGCGGCGAGGGTAAGGGTGGGGGGTCTGGCGGCTCGGACCCCTCCATGTGACAGTTCGGGATGGGCCGGAGGGCCAAGGGCGATGCCCGGCGCACTCGCGTGTCCTTCCTGCTCTTCTAGACACCGGGCGCCGGACGCCCGCGGAGGTTCGCGTCATACGACGTGCCTCCGCACCGTAGGGACCTAGCGCTGCCCCGCGGCCGGGGCCCTGCGGCGCGGGCGGGGGTTGTGCGGGGCGGGGGACCCATCGGGGCTCGGCCAGAGAGACTTGGTATGACTTCTCGCGCAATGTGTAAGGGGAAGAGTCCTCACTCTCAGAAACTGTTGCGTTTTAAAGCACATTGTCATTTACGTCTGACTAGTTGGAGAACGTTTTATGTGGCAGCTCATTGTACCAGCTCGGATGCAAAGATTACATTTAAAAAGTACAATTTATTCTCAGTCACTGCTGTTTTATACTTGACAACACAAGTAGTTGGGAACAAAATTTTCTTTTACTAAACTTGAATTTATTCAATTTGATTATAACGGGTTGTACATTTAGTCACTGAGTTATTTTGAATGTAGAGCCAACGTTTGACTTCCCAGCACAGTAATTCTGACAAAATCCTTTTAGCTCGAAATCTTTTGCGTGTTACTTATCGGATTCTCTCTGGTCTTTTTTATCTGCCATCCGTATGGACCCCCGCCTCGTCCCTTCCAGCCAGACCGCGGGGCCCTGGTATAGCGCGACCCCGCGTCGCCTCGCACAGCTGGGGACGTCGCTGCTGCCTGAAAACAGAAAGCGGCCCCGGTGTGAGAGGCGGACGCGGGGGCGCGCTTCCCCAGGCAAACGCTCCGCGCGCAAGGCAAAAAGATTGCAACGAACAAAGGGGTGTTGAGAGTCACTGCGGACATTAGAAAATATCAGGAGTTGATGCTGGTATAGCTGTGGATCTTTCACCGAGTAACATCACAGAGTGACTGCGCTGACTGCGCTTGGTGCTCGTGCCTTGGCGTTGAAGGTTTGCCTGGGTTCGTATGCCGTCTGTTTGAAAGGACCTTCTCTGGGTGTGGTCGACGGCGGAACATTTTCGTTACTTTATACAAAATACTTTACATATCAACGTTGATTCGCTGACGACAAGTGTTCCGCTGAGAACTACTACCCACTCTGCATTCAGACCATTGGTATGCGCTGATGGTTTTTCTCAAAATGATTGTCGCTGCAGGTTTGCAAAAAAATGTGAAGTGTCTACCTTTTTCTGAATGCAGTAGTTGGAAGGTCTGCAGCACTGAACTGTATAAGCTGGCTTTAGGTGTTATTATATTACCAAAATATTTCTTGTCTTCCTTAAGATTACAAATATGAAGTGAGTGGCAAACCATTCTTGGGAAAAACTCAATTTAATTCTTTTCTGAAAGAAAGAGAATTTTTTTAAAAAGTGATATTAGTTTTAAAAGACATGGAGAAAAACTAGCCAGCTTGCACATTTAGTGTTACAACTGATGAAAGAATTCGTATATCTGAAGCTCCTCTATATTGGTTACTGTATAGGTAAAGTGTATCTGGATTTGTACTGTTGCAGGTTAAAAACTACTAGGTAACATATACCTTGTTATCTTATGATAATGTTTGAAAAGTAGAGGAGGGGTTGCCAGATATACAAACACTGTAGAAACTTTTGTTTTCAAAACTTAAAATTATTTTCATACTTTGTCAGAACTCTGTAAAATATTGCTTTACCAACTTTCTTACTGTGAAGTACATCTCAAGCTGATTTACTTCGAAACAAAATTTCTGCAGTGTGTCTTGAGAATGGCGGGGCAGCGCTAAAAATAGGAAACAAATTATCATTTTTCAGAGGTGACCACCACCTATGACATTCAAAACAAAGTGAACTTTTGATCAGTGCCATAATGGGATGTTTTCCCTGAACTGTGAGGACAAACAGTATTCAACTCAATAATCGAGGTCATTTTATCTGGTGTTAACAGCCTCGGCTGGTCATGTGCTTCCACCTAAGTTGTTATTTATTGTTGTTGTTACATATTTGTTACCCTGCCTCTCCCCCCATCGATCTAATTCAATCCCTTTGTATGAAACCCTACTGTCTGAATATTGTGAAAAATGACTGAAGCCCTGAGACTTACGACCCTCTTGTACCTTGAAATTGTGGAGCTTATATTGTTTTTGAGTGTTTTAAGTGATATAAATTTGTGCAAACTCCAAAGAACAAGTCCTTTTCAGTTCCTGTAGAGTCCATTTTGGTTCCTGTATGCTATGCCATTGTAACTGAAAAGAGGAAGAACGCTTGATGTGGAAACCATACCAAAGTAGATAGCAATTTTTTTGTCATAATGCTATTGTATTATAGGTATCATAGGTGCCTACGATGTTTACATGTGTACGTAAGCTAAGACTCAACATTCAGGCTGGGGCTTTCATGCCCTTATTAATATTTTGTTGTTATGTATTAACTTAATGTATTTGAGATTGTTTAGCGGATTATTCATTTAATCATATCTCTCTGCGTATCAGATGGTTTTGCTTTACTTTTTAAATGTGTGATAAGTGATAATGTATGTAATTGTGTTATATAAATGAGTTATATTAAGTGTTTTACATGTCTGTTTGAACTTTAAAACTGTACTTGGCCTTTTTTCTCTGATATTTGTAAAATTATGGTATGGAAAGAAAATTCCGAATTTAAAACTGTTCTCTAGTCTATATGATAGCATTTGCTAAGAGTCATTTTTTGTGTATATTCCTTACCTGTGTGGAGCTACCTCAGACAGGAAGCATTTCGTATTCTCATTCCCGAAGCTTTTACTGTATGTTGATTTACCTGTGTAATAATGACTCAATGTTGAATTCAATTTATGATCTGTGGTGTTGGTGGGTCAGTAGCAGTCTGCACCGACTAAGAAACTATTTTTGTATGAAGCCTGTAAGAAGATAAATGTGCCACTCTTCATAGTGTGGTTTGGAACCAAAGAGCAGCTTCCAAGCAAGTTTTATTGTTACTGTGATTCTATTGAAACTCTCTTTTAGAAACAATCATGTGTATCAAAGAGTTTCAAGATGAACACTAGTTTTGCTTTGAATAATTTATTAAAGTTGGTAGACATTTTTATGACAAGGTTCTCAAAACAAAAAAATATATTTAGCTCAACAAGGCCTGAAAAAGGTGAGAGTTGACAATCATTTATGTGACACATTTAATGGCTTTTACGATTTGAATCTTAGAGTTTAGTGACATTTCGATGGTGTTCATTAATAAAAAGTAATCTAAATGGGTATCAATTTAATAAGGGATCAGTGCGATGGTACTTTTTGTACACTTTTTGTATGAATATGCTGTGTAGCTCTGATCCTGACTTTGAAGCTACCCCGGTGGTGTATGGTACAGTAAAAAAAATGAGTTTTATATTATTGGTTATGACATGAAATTCATTATTAGTTGTGTTTTGAACTAGTCACAGATTCATATGAATATTTGATTCCCCTGACTCAGAGCTTGGTCATCGCAGATCTGTCAGTTAATTATAAAAGTGGATTATTGCTTATGAAATGTTTCTATTTTGTAAAAACTTTATTAAGCTACAATATATGTTTTATTGGTTAAATGTTGCCTTCAGTTAGATTTCTTGCCTGAGTTTGCCTAGATGGTGTGGCTCATAGAATTGTAATGGTATTGTTATTTTTTAAAAGTATATTTTTTTGTATTTTTAATGTTTAGGTTGTTGGTGCTGTTGAAAATAGAGTTAGGCTGGCTAATCCAATAGCTTCAGGAAATCAGTTTTATTAGTAATCGTTTCAACTTGACATTGTTCTTTGTTGTCTTGCAGTACTTTGAAAAAGCTTTTGTTTAAAGACATACCAATAGTGTTCAGTGTATGTTTTGTTAGATTTGCCGTGATAGAACTGTTGTGCCAAACTCTCCTCATTTGTGTGTTAGCTTTTAACAGTAATCCACGGGTTCGTCAGACGCTTCCCTACAGATCTTGAAATATGAATTGTGAATTTTGTCATGTTGTCATTCATGAGTGTCTGTTATAGTCATCTTTTGATTTTCCTTATTATAAATCTGCATTAGGCCTGTGATTTGCTTTGGGGGCTCCTTAATGTCAGGGAATCAATTTCATGAACTGCATTTATTTTCTGTTCAAATTCAGACAATGTGAATTCAATTTATCAGTGTTGTAATTTATACTTTATGTCTATTTTTGTAACAGCAAATCATTTGTTAAATCTGAGCCTATGCTCTGTAGGTAACCTCTCAGTATGATTCAGAGTTGAAGAAAAGAATAATAAATTAATCCCAAAAAGCTGTTTATGTTTTGGGATTTATTTCCAGTTTTATTTTGTATATGGCATTCAGACTGTGGCGACAAACTTTTGGAAATGTTTCTGTTTACGAAGCTGAATTATTCCAATACGAATAATGTTCTCAATTTTAAAACACCTATTCTACTTTACCCCTGTATTTGTAGCTTCATGACTGATTATACTACCTATCATAAAAAAAAACTCTGTGTTCATCCTGAGATTTGGACCTGCAGTTCACATAGGTCTCATCACTTAGGAGGTAATTACCGTTGTGCAAATTGCTATGAGCTATTTGGCTGAATTTAATCAGCGGTGGAAATGTAATCAACTGCGCTTTAGGTCATATCATTTTCTAAATCAATGGAAGTAATCCATGCCTTCTCTGTTAAATGTATGAGCCTTCTAGACTAGATTACTTGCCTCAAACAAAAAATTTTGACCGTGGTTTATGCATATATAGAATTATTCTTATAGCAATATCCCATGCAGTCTGTTTTAGAACAGAGACAGAATGTGTAGTGTGCTCAATTCCACTTTCCTCCCGAATTGTAGTTAAGGTATTTTTTATTAAATTATGCAAAACTATTGTGACAAAAAGACATTAACTCTCTCAACTGGATATGTTGCAAAATTTAATAAGACTTGATTGTTGTGATATCAGATCATCAGATCAAACGTTAATGCTTCAGCCTAGCTGACAGCAGCCTGTGAAGTACAATCGCAAACTTCGCTATCTGAATATATGTGGTCTGTTTATTAATGCGCCTCTAATATCAGGTCCTATCAATAAAAAATTCTTCTTGTTTCTGCTCTTCTAGCAGTCTTAGAGTTTCCGGCCCTCGGTGGCTTTTTTCTCTTTACCGCTTTTCTTCTTTTCTATTCCACAGGAAATTGCAAGCCAATAATCCTTACTTGATCAAAGAATCTCTAGGCTCCTATCAAGTCTGATTCTTATGTTCTAATGTTTCCATGACATGTGAATGGATTAATTGGTCTGTTCCCCTTTTTAATGGACAGTCCTGATATTGCTGCATTTATTGTGTTGTAGGAGGTTTTAGATGCAGACCAACCAGTTCATTATTACAATTCATAATCTTTCTACTTTAGAATTTTTTATTTCAATCACCAAATGTCATTCAGTTTTCAAAACATATCATTGTAGATTGGGAGGTATGTAACTGAAGCTTTCTTTAAGTCTAGATGTTTTCTTAAATGTTCTTATTGATGTCCTGAAGGCAAATGAATGTGAGTAGAGCAGTTTTCTTTTTTATAATGATGTTGTGTATGTTGTGTAACTGTGTATCATGTGTATATGTGTCTATTGAAGTACAAACCATGAGAGTTATTTTATTTATTTAATTGTACTAAAAGTGGTTGAGCTTAGATATTTTTTGTGGAGGCAACAAAATAAATATCCTTTAATTATGTTATAGAACTGAGATTTGTATTTTTGTTTCTGTGAACAATAAATTGTTTGCATTGTCTTTTACTGCTAAATTTCCAGTCGTATTTTCTTTCTTTCCAACCGGCACCGATACATAACCACGGCCTTTCTCGCGCCCCTCACTGACCAGAGGCACTACACCACGGTCGCCGCCGGGGTGCGGGTGGGAGGGAAAGCCCACGCACCATTGGCGGATGCTCCAGGCCCCGGGCCAACCACAGCGACGCTGCCCCCGCCGCGGGGGTAGGCGGGGGGAGGGGAGGGCGCCGCCGCGCTCCGCCTGGCGGGCGTGCTCCCGCCGCTCCTGCCCGCCTCCGGCCGCTGGACCCGCGCGGAGGCCCGCGACGATGCTCCCGGAGGTAGGCAACCAGTGTCGCTCCCCTCCCCGCCGCGGCTGCAGCCGTGGGCTCCAGCCGGCCCGACTGGTG